CAGTTGTTCATGTTGAAATGCAGTTTGTACAAATCTCTTTCTCTCATTACTTAATTGTCCGCATGTACTCTTTTTTGTTGAATTCCCTGCACCCCCAACTCACCTTTGTCTTGTTTTTCCTTGTCTATTTCAGCTCACCATACACAGGCTGCTAAATCCACAGGCCTGCTCACTTCATCTCATTTAAGCATTCTCATGAATGTGGCCCTTATTGGCAGCAAGCACTTCTATCACCATTGACAACACCCTCACTCAACTTGGATTACATGCACCTTACCTTGAACTGCAATTTTATGGTAAGTAACTACATATTATCTGCCACCTTAAGCAATCATATCATATATGCAGATGTCAGTATATGCGTGTATATATATATATATATATATATATATATAAGGTTAATGGTCAGAGTTGAATCAGACCAGAACGGGAAACAGTCGTATAAAAAGTGCTCAATACATGTGTGAAAAAATTTTTAAAAAATATGTAGAACTTTAAATTTAAAAAATTAAGAGGTCAGATAGAATACACAACCTCAGTTTTGACCTCATGTGTCTGTCACCCCGACCCGAAGACTGCTTATGGTAAGTAACTACATATTATCTGCCACCTTAAGCAATCGTATCATATATGCAGATGTCAGTATGTGCGTGTATATATATATATATATATATATATATATATATAACTATCTTGGCCCGACCCGAACGTGCACGACTGCAACAACGCAGGACCAGTCCAAACCATGGTGGCATATTCTATCTGACCTCCTAATTTTTAAAAAAATATTTTAAAAATATATATATATATATATATAGTATTATAAAAACGCGAACACTTAAAATATTATGAGATGATATTTATTTCATTAAGGTCAGAAAATTATATCCATACTGATTTCTGGATCTATATCCTTTTGGAAATATCCATACTAATTAATTATTATATATATATATATATATATATATATATATATATATATATATATATATATATATATATATATATATATATACATATGAATAAAGTGTTGCTGCTGACACTTGAGTTTGAACATAGATCGCTAGTGAGCAAACACAGGTGATCCCCATTGTTGAATTCAGTAGACAATGTAACCATAGAGTAAACACATATATGGGAGGTAGCATGTGTCAAAGGGATTGTTATTACTAACAGATCGCTATTCTGTTCTTTCCTCTATAACTATATTGATCACTATTCTCTACTCTGTTTACTATACTATTTCTCTGTTTGGATCACTATACAAGCGAGTATTATCGAGCAAGTACTATTAGTGCAAGTGTTATTCAAAGGCATCTGACACCAGCATTGTTTAACGATACTATAGTTGTATCTGTGATTACAAAGACCCTACTACAATGACCATTACGAAAGTGACAACGAATATTCTTTGGCATGCCAAAGTGGCAACAAGTGTTTGTTGACATCACAAAAATATATATATATAAAGTGAATATACATAATATCCAATGTTGATAACGGTCAGAATTCACACCTGTGCATTGCAGGAACTGCATGAAACTCCAATTAGTGTTATTGATGTTAGATATTGTGTATATTCACTAATATATACTTATAGCTCTGTTTCAAAACATTCAGCATTGCATTTATCTTATTTAGCTTTATTCAGTACTGACAACATGTCCAGGTTATAAGACTGGGCATGCAACTGGTTTTTAATTAAATGTTCAGCTATTGCCGAACCTGATACGTTAACATACTTATGTAAATTGTCTACTTTTCCCTTCTTATTGGAGGAAAATCAAATATGATTAAATAGTCTTATGTCAGCAGTATTGTTTTTGATTGATTATTTTTTTCATATTTATGGCTTATCTACCTTTTGTAGATTATTTAAAGCCAAAGCATATTTTTGGATTGTGAGAGTACTTTATTATTTTGTGAGTGAATATTGTATAAGCAATATTTGTAGATAATAATGATTTTCAGATAAAAGTTCTACTATTTAACCCATAGCTGGGGTGGAGAAGGGTACTTGCACCTGAGTGAATGCAACAAACCCGAACTGAACTTGGCTCTCTGATTTCTCATCTTGAACCGTTATCCATTATGCCAACGGCACATCCAAGCTTACAGCACCTGATATTCAAGAACAGTCACACCTTCTAGGTACTGAGCAGACTCAACATTGCTTAACTTTGGGGATTGGATAGGAACTAGTGTTTCAATGTGCATTTTTATTTTATTGGATAAAAATTTGTTATTATTATTATTATAATAATCTTTTTGCTTTTTATTGTAACTTTGGTCAGACTCATTCTATCGTAGTTTATTGACAATATAGAAGTGAAAAAAGATATGGTTTTGGGGAAATTTGAACCGTTTTGCTTGAAAGGAAAAATAAATTTGAAAATAAATAGTATTCTTTTTGGTTTTTCTAGGATAAGTAAAAAAAAAAAAATTAAGATTTATTTTGAAAAATTGAATTAAAAAGCCAATATTAAAAAAAATTTCAGTTGTTTATCATATGCGACCATATACAGAATTTAGATTGATCGAAATTACAAGTTATTTACAAAACTAGCTACTAAAGACTATATTCTTACTTATTATATTACTAGTGTACTCATGTTGTCAAAAATGACAGCAACTGTTAGTGAGATGCAATGAAATGAAAGTTTTGAAATAATTTATTGAGATTTAATAAAGTGACAATAAAGATTTCAAAATTAAGATATAAAACCAACGAACCATTTAATTAATCCATTCCCTTTATATATTTTTTATTTAGATGTTCAATGATATCTATGATTCATTGATTACTCCTGGTATTATATAAATCACTTTTTGATTAATATCTTTTCATGTTAAAAATTTGATGCATTTAATTTAACAGTGAAATGGAAATATCTCTCAAATCTTAACTCCAGTCACTTTCTCATAGATGTGATATGGCTCTCTTTACTTTTTCTACAAATATTTCCATGGCTACTGTTCTGTTAAGCTTTTTTCCCTGGTGTCCTCACTACATAAATTTAAGTGTGCTACTAGACTGGCATCTAGGTCCCCCCCTTTTCCTGTTGAAATATTTAAATGTAACCTACACTTCTACTCCAACAGCTTCTTTTCTTGCACTTCCTCTCTGTGGATTTCCCTTTTGTTTACCTGCTTCCCTGATAACTACAATCTTGAAAAATTTAAATGTACCATCAATTATCATCTTATGATGTCTTGAAACATATTCATTTTTTATCCTTTCCTCATTTCCCCTATACACAGTTTTTTTCTCTTACCTTCACTCTGACCAGAGGTACTACTACCTTCCTTGGGGTGAAATGCTTAAAAAAGAAAAAAAAAAGATTTGATGATGATGATGGCAAAGCCTATTTCAAGACCAAATTCAAATAAAATGATCACTTAAAAGACAAAGGTATCTGAGTGCCTCACATGAAAGGCTTGAACAAATAAGACTGCAATCTAAGAAACGTAGGAATAAAGGAACTGGTTAATTAAACAGTTCATTTTTCTTGGGAACTAACTTTGTTTAAATTCAGATAAATATTTTATTTTTATAGATTATTAAAATGATTAAGGAAAGTAATAACTTATAAATTTACTAACTACATTGATTTAACTCCCTACACTCTACATATGGGACAGGAAATATATAAATACACATTGATATTTATTACATGGTTTGATAATAAACCAATTTAAAAAACGTGTCAAAAAATGGAAAAGTCATTCCATTTGAATGTTTGGATACTTTCGCAGCTCTAAACAAATGATACTTATTTACATTATTCAGACTGTTATCCTCATCTTCATTGCCATATTCACAATGTTTCAGCCTTCTTCAGGTTACTGGAATTTTGAACTGAACCCTTTATTTATGCCATTGGGGTAGATTGTTCTAGTTCCACATGTCATGCCTCTTCCAGATGTCTCAGTTATTTCCATTTAACTCAACTCTCCAAGTATTTTGGTTCACCACTGCTGTAACCTAGTATTGCACTCATTCACCTGGAGAAGGCCAGAGTGTACAACAGCTGAAACATTGGGAATATGGCAATGAAGATGAGGATAATAGTTCGAATAATGTCAGTCAGTTATGTGTTATGCATGATACACACTTAGGCAATCATGTTTCTTTCAATGCATGACTGACGAGGCAGATTTTTTGTCCTGCCATAGGTTGCCATTTCTTTCTGCGGTAGACCAGTTGCCATCCAAGGCTATAGAATCCAGTCTCTCCTGCTATTTACCCATAGCTGAAGGGAGAAGAAGAGGATTCATACCTTTCCCAAGGATATTAGCACATAAGTGAATGTAATGAATTCGACTGAAATTCGAACTCGGCACTCAGATTCCTCAATCTGAGCCGCTATCCATTACTCCACAATAATCATAATAATACCTCATTTCAGAGATATAGACAGATACAAATGATCCTGTTTGTAATTTGTACAGATATTATGACCAAAACTAGAAACTCCTTGCAAAAAAAAAAAAGAAACTTGACAAAGGTATCCTGAAAGCTACTTGAGGAAAATCTGACTTGACACTTGCTAGATATTAAGGAAAAATATTTTGTAGGGGTTCAAAAACCCTCTGGTACTAGTGGAGGATTACAATGTCCTGAATGATAAAGGCACGGGTTCCTGTTTGATAGTGAATTTAAACAGTGCTCAATCTTTGAAGTGCGATAACCCTTTTCGAACACCAAATATATTAAGCAGCTTGCAACCTTGTTTTTTTTATTGGTTTGATTTTTATGGATTATCAACTCTTTGCAAGTTATTTAAAGTCAGAAAATATTTTTAGAGTGTAAGAATGTTTTTGGCAATAATAATGATTTAGTAATACAAGTCTTACTAATTGATCCATAACTGGTGGGGTGAAGAGGTGGGTTCATATCTTTTCCAATGGTTTTTGCGCATAATTGTATATAACGAACCCAACTGTAATTGGAATTTAACTCTCTGTTTAAAACTGAGTCATTAAATTCTGCATATCCAAGCACCTGGTATTCCCAAGTGGCCACCCATTTAGGTACTGACCGGACTCTATGTTGCTTAACTTTGGGTATCGTACAGGAACTGGTGTTTTAATGCTTTATGTCTGTAGCCTGTGCTTGTCTAAACTAAGCTAAGTTAGAAAAAAAAGCTGGTTTTAATTTAAAATTTTTAAATTACCTTCAGGACACTCATTTAAAAATTTTAAAGAAAGCATAGTTTGATTAAATTAACATTTGGTTTTAAACTCCCAGATCCAAATAAGCCACTTTCCCACCACCATAATGTTGCTTTCCTTTGCCTTTTCTATAATTTGTTTTTTTTTCTTACAGTAAGGTTCACCCCTTACAAGCCCCAAGGTCCACTTAAGGTAGAGGTCTATGTTGGTAGGAAATTTATGTAGATAGGAGTGAAAGACAACAGTTAACCCTAGCCTTGAATGGCTTAAGATTATAATGACCAGGGAAGCATCTTCTTGAGAGTTGCTTCCACAGAGCAGTGGTTTGTGGGGAAAAGCTGTTTGAGTGGAACTTTAATGTGGGTAGTTTGCTACTATGTAAGTGGTATGGCATGTCCATGCCGTGAAGGTTTGATGGGTTTGGATTGTTTTTTTTTTTTTTATAGCATATCAACCTCAATGTGTCATTTAAAGCTGACAAGATTTTTATTGCTGGTAATATTTTTGTTAAAAAATATATTTTCCAAAATAGTATAACATTTTTTTTTCTTAAAACAATGTATTGTTGGTAATATTTTTTTTTTTTCAAAATGTATTGTTGGTAATATTTTTGTTCCCAAAATGTATTGTTCGCAATAATTTTTTTCTTCAAAAATTCATTGCTGGTAATAATTTTTTTGAAAAAATATATTACTGGTACTAAAACCTATTTTTACACTTTTAGAGTGTTTCGACCCCAGTTTGGGGGTTAACTATTTGCCTTTAGTTGGGACCCTAACTGGTGCTACCACCTCCGGTCAGGGTGGACCTGGGAACACGAGCACTTAAGAGGTGGTTCACCCTCCTCAAAACCTGATCAGAGGCCTTCCTGTTAGATGTAGTTTATTGTCATACCCAGGACTGGAAGGTTTGGCAGAACCAAGGAATGTAGTTCATCCAAGCACTTTCCATAGAAGTAGTGACAGAGCAGTGAGGGGCTTGCCACATCCCACCTGTTGAAGAGAGGTTGGAGGGTGAAAAATAATTCATCGCCCACAAGGGTTCAAAGATGATTTTGGACTTTATTAAGGCTAGAGAGTGAGGTCTGGGCAACTCCTGCCCAAATATGACAACAGTAATCCATTTGGGGCCTGATCTGGCTCTTGTGATTGTAGAGCAGGGGTCGGCAACTCATTCAACCCCACGGGCCGGATCGTGTTATAATGACGGGTTGCGGGCCGGACGAAGGCCATTAATGAAAACTTAAGGAAAATTACATGTGCAGACCCCTGTCAACCTAAATATTTAAAACCATAATGAAAATAAACATTGAGAAATCAGAAAAACAAAAAATCTCAAATTAAAAAACACCTAACAAAAATTACTTTTCCTCAAGGAACGTCAAAATACTTCAAAGTGAAAAAATCAACCGAAGTGAAATGAATGAAATTATGACGTGTAGGTTTGAAACTGTTATTGAAAATTGTTCCACAAACGAACCACACACACACACACACACATCAAACAAAAACGAAGCACATATACCCATACATACGAGTACAAATAGTTGCAAACATATACACTCACGTATGTACACATGCGGTATCATCCACACATTCATGAGGCATGTATGTCTAATGCGCGTATGTTTAACTGTCTTTAGATTTCTGCTACCTCGCATGTCAGTCCCTCCCTGGCCTCTTTCACTTTATCGTTCCTTTCACTTCTGTTATCTTTTAATGTAGCCAAGGGTCATAACAAATATGTATCCATTATTTGACATTAAACGTAGGCAATGCAACTTGGTAAAGTAAGTCTCATGAAAGATAACTGGCAGATAGTCTAATTCGAAAGCCTCGTCTCTCATGTTAAAAATAGTCATTGGTAATCAGGCTCGCGGGCCGGTCAGAATGCCAAGGGTCGGCAACCTACGGCCCGCGGGCCGGATCCGGCCCACGGGCCGTAGGTTGCCGACCCTTGTTATAGAGGATGGCAGGAGAAGTCAGGTACTTACTGGAGCAGTACAGGGAGATGACCATTTTACCTGCATCTTTAGCAATGAATCATATGTACAAGTCCCATTTGAGATCAGGTGCAAATTTGTGACCTAATAGTCTTTATTTTCATAGTAATTGTTCTGATGAGCTTTCCTCTTTGGTATATAAACTTTATGAATATAAGCATTCTTCTAGATTGGTGGTAAGGTCTCATCATTTTACAATTGTAACCGTAAGTTCTATAGTAACAGCTTTTTTTTTGTCGCACTTCTTGCTTTTGGAACTCTCTTTCGGCTTCTTGTTTTCCAGTGAACTTTGATCTTTGAAAATTTAAATGCAATGTCAATTGTTATCTACTGTTTTCTTAATTCCTGTTCTTTTATTGTCCTCTCTATTATTAAATGTTTTCTTTTTCTCATATTCTTTCACACACTGTAAACCCCCTCTCTTGCATCTTAGTGGCTTTATTGTCTTACTTGGGGTGAAATGATAAAAAAAATCACTTTTTGTGTATTTTTCATTAGAGATCGTGAGAAAGCAAACAATTATAGCAGAAATTTACATAATTGTTTGCTTTCTCATGATTATTTGCCTCTAGGTTTGGACATTCAATCTGCAGACAAATAATTAGGCCAACATTTGACTGTTTTGATATGGGATGAAATTAAAAATAATAAGCTTTTTATATTAATAATTACTTGAATAAGCAACATATTTCTTTTTGCCATTTCTTAATATTGAAGCATTAAATGAGTTTAAAACAATAACAGACTGAATTTAATAGTCAGTTTGAATTTTAATTACATTTTAACAAGATAGCTGTTATTTTAAAGTTTAAGACCTATCACCACTTTGATAATTTCTTTAACTAATACTTAATTTCATTTGTAAAACATGTGGCTAATTATTTCAATAATTTTTTGTTTTGTTGTACATTAATTAAATGAATCCTTTTGATAAACTACAATTGTTCCTTCCTCCGCTTGTATTCAGTTGAGTGGATGGAATCTGAGAAGAAATTGACCAATCTAAAAAATATACATACAGTATTAGAAACGGTAACATAAATTCCTGTTCTTTTTATTGTTTTCATTCATTAATAATGTTTTCTTTGTCTAATATTCTCTCACACTCAGTAACCCTTGTGTCAGTGGCTTTATTGCCTTACTTGAGGTGAAATGATTTTAAAAAAATGAAGTACACTCTTTTGTTTCTCAAATATTTGTTCATTTAGTTGCCCTTGGGACACTTAATTGAGAAGGTGGGTTATTTTTAATTACTTGGGGAAAGGGAAGTACTAATTTGAAATTGGGAGCTAAATTTAACATTTACAGTAAGCAACAATGAACCTTGCCCGAATTAAAAAGTGTTACTAGTCAGATTTAGCGAGATCGTGTCTATACTTTTCGAGTCCAAAGATAGACACGGGTCGCGTCTATACTTTTCGAGTCCAAAGATAGACACGGGTCGCGTCTATACTTTTCGAGTCCAAAGATAGACACGGGTCGCGTCTATACTTTTCGAGTCCAAAGATAGACACGGGTCGCGTCTATACTTTTCGAGTCCAAAGATAGACACGGGTCGCGTCTATACTTTTCGAGTCCAAAGATAGACACGGGTCGCGTCTATACTTTTCGAGTCCAAAGATAGACACGGGTCGCGTCTATACTTTTCGAGTCCAAAGATAGACACGGGTCGCGTCTATACTTTTCGAGTCCAAAGATAGACACGGGTCGCGTCTATACTTTTCGAGTCCAAAGATAGACACGGGTCGCGTCTATACTTTTCGAGTCCAAAGATAGACACGGGTCGCGTCTATACTTTTCGAGTCCAAAGATAGACACGGGTCGCGTCTATACTTTTTCGAGTCCAAAGATAGACACGGGTCGCGTCTATACTTTTCGAGTCCAAAGATAGACACGGGTCGCGTCTATACTTTTCGAGTCCAAAGATAGACACGGGTCGCGTCTATACTTTTCGAGTCCAAAGATAGACACGGGTCGCGTCTATACTTTTCGAGTCCAAAGATAGACACGGGTCGCGTCTATACTTTTCGAGTCCAAAGATAGACACGGGTCGCGTCTATACTTTTCGAGTCCAAAGATAGACACGGGTCGCGTCTATACTTTTCGAGTCAAAAAGATAGACACGGGTAGACACGGGCGTCTATACTTTTCGAGTCCAAAGATAGACACGGGTCGCGTCTCTACTTTTCGAGTCCAAAGATAGACACGGGTCGCGTCTCTACTTTTCGAGTCCAAAGATAGACACGGGTCGCGTCTCTACTTTTCGAGTCCAAAGATAGACACGGGTCGCGTCTCTACTTTTCGAGTCCAAAGATAGACACGGGTCGTGTCTATATTGCTAGGCCTGCTGACATTCACTTGGTAGGTGGCCCCTTTTTGGCCCCAGTCAGTGTATTAAAGGCCCTGATGACAAGGTTCTACTGTTTAGTAATACCAGATTTTCCTTTCAGTATATGGCCTTGTGCCATAAGCTTAGTAAATAAATTTAAAAAATCTAATTATTTTTTAAAAGCAAACATGGCAGTTTCATGTTGACCACCTTAATATTTTCTTGCACTTTTTTCTCCTGAATGCAGCCCGATGTGTAATTGTTGGTTTTCCTCTCATTGTTCGACTGCAAACTGATCTTTGTCTTCACTGTAATGTGTTAGGTTAAGAATCAATGATTGAAGCTTAGGTCAACAAAACTGGAATGTCACAAGTGATTTTTTTTCTTGTTCTCTTTTGTCTACATTTTTAAGGTCAACAGTCGAATGAAGGAGCAGGGTCGTGTCAAATGCTGTAATTGTTGTTAGAAAAACCATCTCTACACCATACCGTTCACCTCCTCTCCTGCCGCTTACTGCAATATATCCAAGCTCTTGCTGAAGACTTCCCCTCCCAGTCATACTGTCCTTTGTGTCAATAAAAAAAGCAGAA